GACAGAGTTGTCTGTTATTTATGCACGGAATGATTGCCGAGATTTACATGAAATTTTTGATATAAAATAGTTTAGCGGAAACACTAAAAGAAACAGAAAAACTATTAGAAATTATTTTTACAACTCCTATGTCAACATCAGAGGCTGAGCGAAATTTCTCAACATTGAAAAGAATCAAGACCTTTCTTCGAAATACTGTAACCCAGTATCGCCTTACAGCGTTGTCGATGCTGTCCATTGAAAAGGAATTTATTTCGACCAACGAAAATTTCAACGGGAAGGTGATCGGCAAATTTGCTGCCAAGAAGGAGCGCAGGATCGAACTGACATAAAAAATAGGTAAGTTCGGATTTGCAGAACACCTGTTTTATTTTGCCACGAGCCGCCACTGTATTGGCACATTGCCAATTGAATTCAGGATGTGATGCTAAATGTTTGAAAGGATAGCTTTGTATCCAGGATATTATTTTAAACAATCATAGCTATCCAATAATACTTACGAGTAAGATGTACAGACATTGGAAATCTCGAAACTGGAGATACTACAGACCAGAATATGTGAATTGACCTAAACATACCTTAGTCCAAAAGTTGATATTTTGTGAGGGTCAGTTACAATTTAATTTTCTATTTTTCCTTATTGCTTGAGAAGTATTTCAGATGTTGGCATAAAACTCGGTATAGGGAGGGTTTCTAGTATGAGAAACAAGAATCTGTTATTTTTTATGGCCAAACTTGTAGCTACCAGTTTCGAGTAACCACTGATCGATTCGCTGGAAAGTCGTTGAGTTGGGCAGGTGTTTATTAGGGAGTCTGTCAGCGTAAAATCTCGAAAACTATCAACTTTTGTACTAAGGTATGGTGAGGTTTCACATATTTTGGTCTGTAGTATCTCCAGTTTCGAGATTTCCCAACCTTTCGCAGACACCCTGTATATTCCGAAAACCGTTAGTTTCCCATTATGTCAAATATCTTTGCAACAACGGACCATCTCCCTAGTCCCTCCCACATCAATTAAATAGAATTGTTGGTCGTAAAGGAGATGTGCTGACAGCCGCCGCATCCCCATTAGCCAAAGAATCGGATGACTTCAAACAACACCCGCGCATTTTTGTGGATCAAAGCATCTATGGGTTCCAAGAATCGCTTAATTAGGGCCACATTATTTGTTATGTTAAAGATATTATTTCGTATGGAACAACAGACGATGACGGACTATGCAAGTTAGGATAAGCACAAATGATATTATTGCTGGTCTATTCAATTTGGCACAATTAGAAAAGGGTTCAATAGCATATTAATTGTATTAATATGACTAACGAGTTTTAAAGTGGTTCAGCTTCAGTTCAAGTGGCATTGAACTTTAGTAATTCTTCAATCCAAATAATAATGATAGCTAATCTTTATCTATATTCAAAAGAACGCCTTGTTTTAGCAATTTGAGAGCATATTGTTTTTTACTGTTCGTTATTAATACCTTCAGTGATATAGAGATATCATTTGGGTCTTCGAATTTATGACGCAGTGACGTATATCGCATTCTTAGAAACCACATATTTTTGATAACTATTAATTACTGTTTTACTGGAATGCTTCCCAAAAACCATAAAATCTGTCGTTCATGCTAAATGTAGAAAACTATACAGGATGATTCACAAGTCGTGACCAAAAATGAAACATCATACATAGGACCGCATTTTAAGAGGGGTCTTCTGTGTAACATTTTCTCCTCGAAGGATTCATTAAAAACATACGGAGTGTTGAAGTTTAAAAATGAAAAACAATTTTTTTAATATCTTCAAAACCGTCAACTGGAATGAACTAAAATTTGGTACGTGGATCTACCTAAGTATTGTGCATATTCAAACGTTTTTACTTAAAATTATCGTGCACCAGTGGCGGAGATACAGGGGATTAGTGGCATTATTTTTCCAAAGAAAATTAGTACGCCAGTGTGTTTTTTTCGAAACTTGCAATTTTTCGAATTATACCTTCAATTTTCTACAAATAATTACTCCTATGTCTTTTTCCTAGAGTGTTTTCGTAAAAATAAAATAAAACAAATTGGATCATTCATGAAGAGCCGAGATACAATTAATTTCAAAATAAAATAGGAGTCCTTGATACCAACTTGACGTTTCTTGAAAGTTAGTTTGCCAAAGTTATGCGTTATACGGTTGTTATCGTTACTACCATCATTTTTTATGTAAAAGTCAAGTCAAGTTTTTTTTTTGTCCATTTTTGAGCGTTTTGAAATGGAATTTCATTACGCTGGTATTATTTTTGTGTACTGGTTCTGTAATGGAAATGCTTTAGCGGTTTCTCTGGAGTTTCAACGTAGATTTCCGAACAGACGCCAACCTACCCCAAAGGTTTTTGCTAATTTTTCATTTTTACGAGAACAATGCACTCTAGGAAAAAACAAGAGTAATTATTTGTAGAACATTAAAGGCAAAATTCGAAACATTGCGTATTTCCAGAAAAAACAGTAGCGTACTATTTTTATTTGGAAACATAATGCCACTAATCCCCTGTATCTCCGCCACTGGTGTGCGTTAGTTTTAAGTAAAGACTTCAGAATATGGACAATACTTAGGTAAATCAACATACCAAATTTTAGTTTATTCCACTTGACGGTTTTGGAGATATTAAAAAAAATGTTTTTTATTTTTAAACTTCAACATCCCGTATCTTTTTAATGAAGCCCTCGAGGAAAAGATGTGACATAGAAACCACCCCCCACCCCTTCCTTAAAATGCGGTCCTGTGTATGATGTTTCATTTTTGGTCACAACTTGTGAATCACCCTGTAAAATGACCTCTCCTTGCATCCAGTTCAAAACTCTATAACAAAACAGCAATCAGAGCACTATGAGCTCACATATGGAGTCATGAAAAATGAAGCACAATGACGGATTAATTTGCCAAGGAAAAGTTAAAAGCTTTTGGTTTTATAACTTAAGCCGCATACAGAAAAAGGAAATCTGGCTCAACCCTTGTTGGCAGCGAGGGACCAGACATGTGACTTGTTGTCATTCAAATGCTTTTAGTCAGAGAAAAAAATGTTTATCTGTACATATTTTGTACCCCTGCGAGACCTTAGAGTGATTACAGGTACCAGGAAACGTAAGATGGGTAGGTTTCACGACCATAATCTCTTTCCCAAACAAAAAAGGACTGAGGTGATAACTTAGTGCCCTATGCATTGATGATGCTAATCATGTCATTGCCTTTTTATATTCATTCATGCGTTCCTAAGCAACAGCAAAACACAGTATGTCGAATTTTACCTGCGCGCCGAAAAGGCTTTAAGGGTATTAGCTGAATGTTTATTAAGGTGTTTCAGTGTGTTGGTCATATATTTGAGTTTGTCTCTTTATCATTTTGAAGTCGAGGATGTATGATATGCTTGTGATTTGATCAAATCGGTGATATACTAAGTGACATATAAATCCGAACACCCAGTTTAAATGGTTTTATTTTAATAAAAGTTGGTGAATGTATTTATCTTACTGTAAATAACAAGTGAAAAAATTTTCAGCCTTATCAGTTGGACATTCCGGTTTTTATACTGCTTTTTTTTAATTCACTAACGCTCTAAAAATGAATATTTCAGCCGCAGTAAAGAATCAACGTTGGCGGATTTTGGTTCTTGACATCCTTTACGATCGGTTACGATGCCTAGAGTACGGAGACCTGTACGATTGCGTCAACTTAGTGAGTTTGATAGGGGCCGTATAGTGGGACTTCGGGAAGCTGGACTTTCTTTTCGGGCAATTGCAGTTAGAGTGCAAAGAAGTGTAGACACTGTGGTTAGGTGTTGTCAGGCATGGCTTCGAGAAGGCCGTACGCAAAGAGCAAGGGGCACTGGACGCCGCCGTAGAACAACAGACCGTGAAGATCGCCGCCTAAGATTATTGGCCTTAAGGGACCGTTTCTCCACTACCAGGTCCATTACAAATGAATGGTTTGCAGAACACGGAACACCTATTGGCATGCGAAGTGTTTACTGACGAATGAGAAGTTTTGGCTTGTTTTCATACCGGCCACACTGGGTCCTCCCTTTAACTCGAGAACACCGACGTAATCGCCTTGAGTGGTGCAGACAACGGTCACTCTGGGATCAGGAATGGAACAGTATTGTCTTTAGTGACGAGTCTCGATTTTGTTTAGGCATGCACGATGCTCGTGCCAGGGTTAGAAGGCGACGTGGTGAAAGGAGGAATCCACAGTTTTTTGTTGAAAGACATGTTCATCACACTGTTGGAGTTATGGTTTGGGGTGCTATAGCTTATGGTTCCAGGTCACCTTTAATCTTCATCAGAGGTAACATGAACGCGCAGCGTTATATCCACGAAGTTCTAGAACCCCATCTTTTACCCTATCTTGACACCCTGGCAGATCCAACTTTCCAACAAGATAATGCCCGACCACATGTTGCAAGAGTCACAATAGACTTCTTTCAACATAATGATGTCACATTGTTACCATGGCCACCAAGATCTCCCGACTTATCCCCAATTGAGCACGTGTGGGATATGATGGGTAGGAGATTGCTCAATTTGCAACGTCCTCCTCAGACTCTAGAAGCACTTCGAGAGGAGTTGGTGGTTGCCTGGAATGAGATACCACAGGAGGACATTGACCACCTGATCAGAAGCATGCCTAGGCGCGTTGGAGAATGCGTAGCAGATCAGGGTGCATCCACACATTATTAAAGGTCAAAGGGCTTTAAAGCAGTGCAATCATTTTGAAATTTTTATCATTTACTTATTATGCTTCATTAAGTACTTATACAAAATTTTATTAAAATAAAACCATTTAAACTGGGTGTTCGGATTTATATATCACTTAGTATATTAAGAAAAATTACATTACTATATATTCTTATTGCACCTTTTGAGTCCTCCATATTTGCTCCACAAGAATTTTATAAATCTTGTAGCGTTACTTCACTTTCTTTTTTTGAATGGAGTGTACATCTGTTGCGTGTAAACGTACGTGAGCCGTAGAGAAACGATGCTGAATTCATTACGACTTGTTGACTTAGGGCAAACAAACATGCTATTATCTATACCGGTGCTTATATTCTTCATTTTGTGTGTCTACCTACTGTGAAACCGCTATTACTGCAGATGAACAAGATGTGTTTTAGTGAAAAATCGAAATCCTTCTTATATCTTTTATAATTTGCGGTGAAAGGGTTGATTCGATGGATAGTAAGTATGTATTTGGGAGAGTTATTTGTTTATTGTTACAAGTGGACACGAAAAACAATGACAAACTCTACGGAAGAAGGCACATTGTATGAACATGGAACCTCCCTATGGACATAAATCCTAAAATATTTCATTGTTGGTATCAACTGTGAATGGATATTGTTAGAATAAAATTGCATCAAAATTTGTTGACAAACTCTACTATTTACAGACTTCACCGTTTATCTAACATTCTTTGTATGAAAATGTTGATACTACTTCTCAAAATCAAAACGTAATTTCTTACAAGAGTTAACGCAAGTAAAAGTCGCTTTTATAATAAGAATAGTTTGAAATATATATTAAAAGGTTCAGTGAGGTAGACTATACTTGGCAGTAGAGGGAAAAGCATACCAGTCAGTTGCTAAAGTTTGAACCAAGAGGTATTTGTGTATGTATCCCTTATGATATCTGCTTATGGCAGCAAACATACCAAAAATAATATATCTTCGATTCTCGTACTAAGAATAGACTAAACACCTTAGCTAGCCTTAGCTATTGTTGTATAGCTATGGCGGATAGGAGGTTCTGTGTCGACTGTGCCGCCCCCAGGATCTTGATCGTGGATACAGGATTTGTGCATATCATGCGTAGATGCCCCCCTCTTAACCTCATGGTACCCATCTGTATTTTGCCATAACCTTCCTGGAGAGTCTGTTATAAAAAACTATATAATGTGAAAACAACATTGGCGTCGTTTTACCACATTATACCTCGACAGATATTTGCAGGCTCCGCCCTTGAACGTTGAGTCGTTGCATTTGCCTAGAACTTCCCAATAACAATTATCCGAAGAATCTTGGAAACGAAATAAACAACAATTTATAACCATACTAAACACGCGGGTCAGTAGCCTTTCGCCGCTCCGTGGCTCAGTTTATACATATTCCTCTCAGTCCTCCTTTTACCTTTTACTAATGGATTGTGGATGTACATGGGTAAATATTATCGAATCCATGGTTTAGAATTAGAGACATATAGATGATGTGCAACGTGCTACTAAAGCTTAATCTTATTTCTCTCGGTTTTGTTTCCATTTGCTATGAGGCAGTTGTGAAATGCACGGTTTTCTATTGAATATTAGCTGCAATTGTTTTTGCAATTGTACTTTACATACCAGATAATACTAACAGGGCATATACGAAATGTATCTTGAAATGAAAATACGTATATGACTGATTTAATTTGTATGCTCGCGCTCGGTACAGTATCACTGTGTGGTATCCGAGTGTTGTACTTTAGTTTCTGTATTTGTTTCCTAACTGCTCAGGAAACTGTTATTTTTATTGCATATACAGAAAAATCCATATACCACTGACGTCGTAATGAGTACGAAAGAGAAGAGTGCAATACATATAGTTTATTCACTGAAACAAAGCAATTACGTCATATTTAGTAGATTTGAATGCCAACTGCTTTGGTTCTGTGAATAAACTATATGTTAGAAATAAAAGCACCTCGTTGCCTAGCAACCCAAGTAACGAGATCAGGACGCAGGTACGGCTTGGCGCGTTTCCATCGACTTACTCTTTCTAACATACATATTGCACGCTTCTCGCGCTTCTCACTCGTATAGATTATGACGTCAACCATATTTGAACCTCACTGTATATATCACATTAATTGTGCTGATATACACTCACTTAGATAGTAGGTGAATAGATGACCCAGGCAAAGAACTGCGTTTGGTGACAAACTCATGTCTAATAACTTTGTCATTCATTTTACTAAATGTGGGAAAAGCTATAAAAACTTATTTGACTGTTCCTACACGTACGAAGATGGCCGCCAAGGTTATTTCTGATTTTAATTTCCATAGAATTCTGAATTTGCTATCATATATAATATAATATCGTATATTACATATAATCATATCGTATATTCACATTTTTTAGCAGAGCCCGAAATTGATGGAATTATCGAATCTTGATAAGTATGGAAAATTAAGCCGACGTTATTTATATTTGTGTTTATAAATGTAAACTTAATTCTGAAGTGTCGATTTTATTTCCCATTTAGTTTCTGCATGAATTGCAATTCTAACATTGCAATGATGTTGAAGATACCTATAGCACCTAGAAGATGTAAATCGCGAAGATTTGGAAAGTAATAATAACTCATTCTTTGGAAATATACCTAATTGTATCTTAAAGAGTATGAACAGAAATTTGGTTCTTTAATTTGTACGTCATATGCGCGAACGCCATATTTTGTATATTTGGAACGTTTTGTGTTCACTTTTTCACAAAAAAATATTTCACTAGTGCCGGTTAGTCTGCTTGTCAGTTTCACTTCCGTCAGTGTAGTTTCATTCTTCAAAATTGTCAAAACATAAAAAAAAAACACATCTCAAATTCTGTCGAGTCTTCTGTCAGTTTCTTAAATTAATTTAAATATGTTTTTGGACATAGGAAAAAGTATTGCAGTTTTTGAAAATCGATCCAGTGGCGGCGAAGAAAAAGGCCAAAAACAAAAAGTAAAAATCTCCCAAACTATATTTTTTGACGTTTCGATGGATTTTTGGAAAAGTTTTTCGAGGTAAAAAATTGAGGGTGGATTGTAAGGGGGGTGAGGAGGGTGTATCAAAATTTTTTGGTGGCAGTATAAACTTCTAACCCCAGTAATTCTACGCGCTTATTAGGCATATTTTACACGCATTCCGTATATTTGGCCCTCTTTTTGTATATAAAGTGCACTAGTAGCTCTCTCTGGCGGAGCTAGATGCGACGAATTTTTACCTAAATGGGCGAGAACAGGTCAACTATGCTCTGGCCATATAGCAATATGATTTATTGAATATCAATAATCAGGGAGTGTGACAACATTAGGACTGTAGTTATTTAGGTGAGAAATAATGAAAGTATTTTGTGGAATGAAGAGTCTGATCTATTATTAGTACCGTTTTCGCAAGCAAATAATGTCCAGGCATACGATAGCTGTCCTCAATGATTTAATAAAAAAATATAAACTCACAATACTTTTTCCCAAATCATTCATTATATTACATGACCAGCTGCAAGGGTTTTCATGGCCGACCAATTGAAAGCCTACCAGAATGTAATAAAGTTGATTCTGATAATTTTGCCAAATCAACACAATGCTTTTTTCACTGATATTTATTCTACTCTATGGCTTTATGTCAGGATACAAGAATTTTCATAGGCCGCAAACAGTAAAGATACCAGGCCGTACAAGAGTTGACTCGAATAGGTACTAAACATGATGCATATACAAAACTCATTTGTCTAGAAGTGCATGGTCTCCCTACTTGATTCCATTCTTTATAGATGTTCGAAATGTATTTATAAGCATATGTGCGTAGTTTGAAAATATTAATAAACACGACACGACATTTTTCTGCTAATTGCTCTGCGGATACTGTACCGAATTTCTTAAGGAGTGAAAGTTGTCTCGACATTAATCCAGTTTTTTATTATACCTTTTCCATAAAAATACGACAAAAATACAGGCAGTTTTGGCACATTCCCTGCTTTCAAAATTAAAGCTACTCGGTACATTTAAAAATTATGAGAAACCAGATGATCATGAGGAAACGTTTTTAAAAGTCATTCTTACTAATTACTCCGGCAACTAGTGACAGGATTCAAAATATATCCGTACTTTCCAGCTTCTGGTCCACCTTACTTCTCGCCCGCAAAATTAAAGCAAAACCGATACGGTGATTGCTGAAATTATGAAGCACAAAAAATGCCGCAAGATCAACCGACAAAGAACGACGAAAAATGAGCGATAGACTAAACAATATATTACACAAACCGCACCGCGTCATTGTCGGTACTGCTGCAAAAAATATCAAATTCCCATTGTTTATGCAAACACAATTTATATCCGATGCTCCAGTGCAAACGTTTAAAAATATTATTTCATCTTCAATAAATGTCCCTATAGTAGGTGTTGATTACTTTGGCACCAAGTGAACATGAAGAACCCATTCACCTTCTTCCTAAGTCTGACCGGATGGGTCATAACTCCTGCACTTTAAAACAGAATTTAAGAGCAACAATTCCTCACAGCTCTGAATGTTTTATAATCCTAGCTCTTCCTCACTGCGATGCGCATTTCAGAGTAGTAATGACGAAAACCTCCATTCCCTTAAGAAACAAAAGAATGTTTTGCTTGGTCTCCTAGGGCAATACTTCGACTTCGTAATTTCACCTGCCACTAATGTTTGTGGCTTCTTTTAAAATTCATATACGTCCTGTGTGATTTTCAATAAACAGAAACTATGTCAACTTCTCGCATGGTTTGTCCGTTCTAGCGATGCTTATGCTTGTAAAAAATGTAGTCAGGTAGACTGTGACTCTATTTCCCGTGCGTTCACAAAAATCTACATTCTACTTACGCAAAAATTCTAAGCATTTTTAAGTAAGTGTCAGATGTCTCATTTCGAAAGTTTTGAGTCCCATAATATTTTTTCTGGCTCAAATTTCAAATGAACCAAACGTTAAAAAAACATTGAATTACCAGATTTGTTTTTTGTTAATACCGACTTCCAGTTGAAGAAAATTGAAAGACGAAGTTGAGACATGCTCTAAAATTGTTTGTTTCCCACTTATAGCTTTACCGCTCCTGGGCCAATTTTCAAGCCTACAAAGCTTTTTCGTCCTTCTATTTCTTGTTAGTATGCAAGGACAAACAATCATAAGAACTCACATGATTCGTCTGGTCCAGCGATGCTTATGCTCGTTCATTCCGCTGGCTATCCAGTCCCTTTTGAGTACCAAGAAAAGTCCCTTGGCACGATGAACGATGGTACCGATTTGGTACCGGTGGCACTATAGTTCGCGCGAAAAGCCGGCGGCAAACAAACCAACCGA